AGAACAACAGAGATGATTAGGAGACTGGCGCCTAAAACATATGAAGAACGGTTACAGGAACTGGGCCTGGCTAGTCTAGTGAAAAAAAGGACTAGGGGTGACATGATAGCAGTCTTCCAATATTTGAGGGACTTGCCACAAAGAGGAGGGGGTCCAAGAGAAGAAACAATGGATGGAAGCTACTCAAGGAGAGAAGAAACCTAGAACTAAGGAATTTCTTATTGAGAACAATCAATCAGTGTTAATGGCTTGTGTCCAGGAGGGGCGGAGCTGGTGTCACGACGATACGGCATGCAATCTCAGAGGTCCGAGGTCGCAGCCAATATCTTTGCCCCGGACGGTCCAAACGGATCTAAAACGTCCCAAAGAGATGGCGATAGTGAGGAGCGCATCCTGTAGATCCCAGGGATACCGCAAAGTCCCTGGTAGATCCAGGAGAAGCTCTTCTTGCCAGAGGCAAAGAGGCAGCCATTAAAGCTGCTGAAGTTGGGACAGCTCCGAAACAGAAGAGAGCAGATACAGAAAGTGTGCCAGTTTGGTAAGATTTTGACAAAGAATATGCTATCAAGACAAAAGGAAGAATTGGCAGTTCTATTGAAAATTCAAGTCATGAATAAGATCCAGTATTTGGGGATACATTTGACAGCAAGATGTAGTACATTAAAAGAGAACAATTATATTAAACTTAAACAGCAGGTAGTGCTAGACCTGGCAAAATGGGAAAATCTACAACTGTCATTAATAGGGAGAATCTCAACAATCAAGATGAATATATCACCCAGAATTTTATATTTATTCCAAACAATACCAATTAGGCTTGGAAAGGACTATTTTGAAGATTTAAATAAAATTGTGTTGAAATATATATGGCAAGGTAAGAAAGCGAGCATAAAGTTAAAACTCTTGCAAGATACTAGAATTAGAGGAGGATTTGGTTTGCCTAATTGGGAGTTGTACTACCAAGCTACAAACTTGATGTGGGTCAAGGAATGGATAACATTAAGAAATACTAGATTGTTGACATTAGAAGGACATGATTTGTTGTTGGGGTGGCACGCTTTTTTATGGTATAAGGTGTTATCACTGGACATGACTGGTTGAAGAGCAATGATGCTTCCATCAATGACCAACCCCTGAATTCCTTGGGGGGAGCTGCCTGCTGAGAATTGCTCTAAACCAGGTGTGTGTGTGTATTCAACTGGTTGTGCCATGGACCCCCCCCCCCCTCTGGGGACCCCTTCTCTGAAAAACTTACTTCAATGCACAGCATCAAATACTGTCAAAAACGTCAATTATGCCAAAATGCAGCTGTCGGAAGAGTCAGTGCTCGCAGGGCTATTCAAGTCCAAAGAATCTTTGAAATGCAGACTGGGTTGATTTTTATCCATGGCAAGAATTGGTTTTGTGTCAAGGGAACAAGATGGCCCCACAGATATTTGGGGTGGGTGACAGAGAAGGAAACACCATTTCAGCTTGTTACACAGCATATCCTCAGGAACCTGTGGCGTTTTGGGGATACATACATACATACACATACATACATACATGTATGGTATTCGGCTTTGTTCGGGTATTTTCCCACGTCATTATAGTTGTGCTTTCAAAGTTGTAGCAACGTTTCAGCAGAATCTCATCTGCCATCATCAGGCTTCTGTATTGTGTTTGTCTGTGAGTCAGACTTTCACAGTCGTTTCAGTTTTAAATTTGGGGCTAGCCTACTGCTGTGCCAGAATGTTTTTTTCTTCATCGTGATTGGTTGGGAGTCTTGGTCTGTGTTTATTGGTCTTGGAGTTTGCTGTGTTCTGCTTGATTGGTGTTTCTAATATCTTGTGTCTGTTTTGTAGCTTTTTTTTTTTTGTCTTGATTGGCTGGCAACATTGTGTTCCTGTATTGGAGGCTTTTAGCGCAGCTTGACTCCGAGTAAATGGACGGCTATCATTTATTAGGAAGCTAGGTTTCATCTGAGTGCCTGGTTGGGGTGTGTTTGAGCTGGAGGTATCTGGGTGCCTGGTTGGGGTGTGTTTGAGCTGGAGGTATCAGGGGATCTGTTTGTGCCCAGGTGTTTGCCTGGTTTGTGGTGTGGAGATTTTTTGTTTGTGAGTGCAGGCTTCCAAATAATTGACAGTCTGGTGGAGTCATCTCTTCTATTCAAGCTTTCAGGTCTTTTTTCAATCTCTATGGCTTCTCTGATAATTCTGTAGCTGGGGTTTTCTATAGTGGCTAGGGTTTTGGTGCCACTGAAGTTGATGCTATGACCTGTGGCTTTCATGTGTTGGACTAGCCAGGAAGTGTGTTCCAGCTTTTTTACTGCATTTTTGTGTTCATCCAGGCAGGTACTTATTCTTCTATTGGTCTGTCCAATGTATGTGGCCGGGCATGATGCACAGGGGACTTCATATATGCCTTGGTTGTCCAGGTCAATTTTATCTTTGGGGTTTCTAAGGATGGCTGCTATTTTTCTGTCTGTTTTGAAGGCCGTCTTGATGTGATGCCTGTGTAGTATCTATCTGATTTTGTCTGTAGTACCTCTCATGTAGGGCAGGACAGCTGTTCCATAGGTCTGTTCATCTTCTAGGTCTCCATTATGTCTCAGTGTGTTTTTGTGGATCAAGCCAGTGATTTTGCTTTTGTGGAAGCCGTTGGCTGTCAGTACTTTAGTCAGGGTGCATAGTTCAGTCTTTATGTGTGTCTTGTCTGCCAGGTGTTTGGTTCTGGCGATTAGTGTTTTGGCCACGGAGTTTATATGTGCTGGGTGGTGGTGGGATTGGGCGTGTTTCCTTCTGGTATATGGTGTGTCCTAGTGTGCCATCTGTTTTTTTGTAGATTAGTACATCTAGGAATGGTAGTTGTTTTTTTTGTTTCCATTTCCATGGTGAATTTGATTTTGGGGTGTGTGCTGTTTAGGTGTGTTAGGAAATGGTTTAGGTTTTCTTTTCCATGGGGCCAAATCACAAATGTGTCATCGATGTATCTTAACCATTCTTGCGGTTTGTGGGTGGCATTAGCTAGGGCTCTGGATTCGAATTCTTCCATGAACAGGTTTGCAATGACGGGTGACATTGGTGATTCCATAGGGGCTCCTTCAATTTGCTTGTATGTTTGTCCTTTGTATATGAAATATGTGTTGGTTAAGCAGTGTTCTGCTAGTTCTATGAGGTGTTTAGCTGGTTGGTATTTATTTTTGATGATTTCAAGTTTCTTTTATTGGGACTTGAGTGAATAGTGAAACCACATTGAAACTTACAAGCAGATCTTCTTGTTCCACATGTAGATCTTTGATCATTTCCAAGAAGTGGTATGAGTTATTGGAAGTATCTAGGCGATGTTTCGATATATATAAATGGGCACAGGTATGCCGGTCTTGCTGTGTTCGGGTCTTTTCCTGTGTAAGATTTAGAGTATCTTGGCAATGTTTTGACGAGGTCCCACTCGCCATCCTCAGGCTGGCGCTTTCGGCTTCATGCTTGTGCGAGCAAAGCGTGATCAGAGCTGCCGACTCTCTATAAATACTGGTGGGGACATTGGCTGTGTTGTCATTTCTTGATTGGTTGATGGAGTTGATGTTTGCAGATTGGTTGGCTTTTTCGTAAGAACATGTGTGGCTGAGGTATTGGCTGTGTGTCTATCAGCCTCCTATGTTTTAATGACCTGGGTAATGGGCTGTGTGATGACCTTCTGAGTTCTATTCTTGTGACATCCTGGGTCTTCTGCTGTAATCTCCTGGGTCGTTGGCTGTGTTGTAACATCCTGAGGTTTTGTGGTGTAACCTCCTGAGTTCCGTAATGTGATATCCTGAGTGGGCAGCTGTGATGTGACATTCCAGGTTTTGGTTTGGCTCCAAGTTTGAGGCCTGGCTATGTGTTCCTGGCGTGTGTCAGTTTGCTTGGTTTGGGGGTCAGGGTGTGTGGCAGCTGGTGATGCAGCCGTGGTCTGGTTTCTGAATGGTGGTTGCCTTTCATCTATGGGGTGGGTTTGCATATATATATATATATATAGATAAGAGACAGACAAACAGATAGATATAGAGAGAGGTAAAAATCTCATCTCCTGAGTCTGATTTTTATCTATGGAGATTTTGCAGTATCCTTCCCCTGCCACGCCCACCACACCACGCGCACAGATCCAGTAGTAAAAAAAAAATTGAATCCCACCAGTTTCCATCCTTCCAAGAGAAATGTGCTGACTCTGTAAACTGCTTCGAGAGGGCTGTGAAGCAGCATATAAGTCTTAAGTGCTATTGCTATTACTGTTGACATTATGGAGATTAGTCCAGCACAACCCATGTCTCCTCTCACGGCTCTTCACTGGCCTCGGCTGATCCTCCAAATGCTAAGGTGGGAACAAACCAGGTTAGGACCAAATGACGCATAGTTTACCTGTGGAGACCCACATTTTGCTCCTCCTTGGACCCTGATGGACCATGGTGTCATGTCCTTGTTGGAGTCTGATTCTGAGGGGGAGATTGAGCAGCTGACAGGGAGTGAGAGTCTGGCTCCAGTGGCTGTGGAAAAAGCGGGGGAAGGGCACAGTCTGGCTGGGCATTCAGAGGAAGACCCAGGGCCACCCCCTCTTCATTCTAGGGCATGCAGGGAGGAACAGAGAAGGGATCAATGTGGCTTGCGAGAGAGAAGGCCCAGATCCCTTTCATTGGTTGCATCTGGGAGAACAGGATATAAGAGGGGTGTTTGCACACAGCTCCTTGCTGGAAGCAAAGCCTGCATTATCTTTGTCGAAGCTTATCTGGATTTTGGCATCCTCCCAATTGTGGGTGCTACGTTATCCTTTGAAAGTCTGCAATTTATTATCCTGGCCTGCGTGTTAATTACTTCAGTGTGGTTTGTGTTGGTTTTTTATTTCTAATTATCTTTACTTTGGGTTCTGACTGCATTTCTGCCCTTCGTAGACTGTTTGATCTCCAGCCAAGGATAATTGGACATTGGGGCCAAGTTGGAGGCATTAAAGGGAATGTATTCTACTTTTGTGACTTTGTTATTTGTGTGTCACACCCCGGGTCATCACCCATGGCCTGGAATCGGGACTCCACACCACTCTTGACCAAAGTGAACATTTTACAAAGTTCTTGGGGGGAAACAACAACGAAAAACAGCGGATGAAGATGCTGATCTTATTCAATACACACACACCCCCCGAAAGTTCCTCATAACATTTTACAAGCAGGTAAGGCACACCTTTTTACACCCTGCCCTGCCCACCAATTCTTAAGTATGCCAAATAAACGCTGGGAGAACCGGGGCGAGTGAGTCTTGTCTTGGGGGTAGCAGGAAGCCCCTCCCTCCCAGCCTTGGTCTTTCATTTGCCAAGATGGCCGCCCAGCTCTCTCTCCAGGCCCACCACAAACTGATCGTTCAGGAAGAGCAGCTGTCCGTGAGGCAGGAACTTCTCCAGGACGGCCTCCATCCGGTCGGCCTTCAGGAGCACGTCGCTGCCCCCCGCGGTCAGAAGCTTGAGGTGCTCCAGCAAAGCCTTCGCCAGGAGTCTCAGGGCGCCCTCTGCGAGCATCAGGTTTTCGTCGGGGTCGCAGACCAGAGCAAACGCCAAGCCCTGGACCCCCAACCAGAGCACCGTTTTGTCCTCGGAGAAGGGGTCTCCTGAGAGGAGGCGGAAGACTCCAAATGGGGTCTCCTGAAGAGAAACGGCTTCCTCGGGCAGCGGCTGGTGAAGGTGCTCAGAAGGTTGCTTCCCGGAGAGGCTCAGCTGCAGCCTGCACGCCGTTTCCACCTGTCTGTGGACACAGAGGAAGTCAGTGGCGACACATTTTTTGTGGGAAGGGGCTTCTCTCTTAAGCGGCTGTTACAGAAAGGGGTGGAGGAAGAAGATTTCAGAGGGAAGGACAAGGAAAGCCTCTTCCTTCCTTGGAGGGAGGGGCATCTCTCACAGGAGACAGACCCTCCGCCCCCACACACTTTAGAGAGATGTGCCATCCAAATCTTGATTAAAATCTTGCACAGTTTCCAGGCAAAGCAGCTCTGTTTGAAGTGGTTGGGAAAACGTCAGTTGCTTGAGAAAGGGAGAGGGGAGAAAGAGAAAGGGGAGGGGAATGGGGAAGCAAGGGGAGAGGAAAAAGGGAGGGGAGAAGAAGGGAAGGAGAAGGAAGAGATAGGAGGGAGAGAGGGAGGAAAAATAGGAAGGGAAGGGGGCATGAGGGAGGGAAAATAGAGAAAGAAGGACGAGGGAGGAAAAAATAGAGAAGGAAGGATGAGGGAGGAAAAAATAGAGAAAGAAGGATGAGGGAGGAAAAAATAGAGAAAGAAGGACGAGGGAGGAAAAAATAGAGAAGGATGAGGGAGGAAAACATAGAGAAGGAAGGATGAGGGAGGAAAAAATAGAGAAGGATGAGGGAGGAAAACATAGAGAAGGAAGGATGAGGGAGGAAAAAATATAGAAGGAAAGATGAGAGAGGAAAAAACAGAGGAAAAAAGGATGAGGGAAGAAAAAATATAGAAGGAAGGATGAGGGAGGAAAACATAGGGGGAAAAAGGACGAGGGAGGAAAAAATAGAGAAAAAAGGATGGAGGAAAAAATGGAGAAAAAAGGATGAGGGAGGAAAAAATAGAGAAGGAAAGATGAGGGAGGAAGGAAAATAAAGAAGGAAGGAAGGTGGATAAAATAGAGAAGGAAGGAAGGGTAAAGGAGGGAGGGAGGGGACCACCGGCCTCTTCCTGCTCATGAGACCCTCCCGTGAGATGGCCAACAGCCTTGGGACCCCGAGGGTCGTCCTCGCTGCGCCTCCCTCCCTCCCTCCCTGCGCCCCAAAGAAGGGATGCCCGGCCCTGCACCACCCGCCCCCGCCCCCTCCCCGCCTGCCTTCACCTGGCCACCGACCGCAGGCGCTCCTTCTCCGGGTGCGGAGCCTCTGCCGCCGCCGCCGCCGCCGCCGCTTCCGCCACGAAGACCCTGCAGAAGAGGAGCTGGCCGGGCTCGGGATCCTCCCCGGGACGGGCGCGCAACGGGTGGATCAAGAAGGCGCGGACCATCGTGGGAGCAGTCTGGGTACCGGGAGAGGGGGGGGAACAGGGGAGGGGGCTGCAGGGCAAGAGCGCGGGGGGGGTAATAGTCTGGCTAGGACACCCCTTATATGCCCCCCCCAAAAGAAACGGTCGGGGGTGCACAGCTGGAGGGGGGAGACAGAGGCAGCCCCCCCAAAGCAGCAGCAGTTTCAGGGACGGGGGGGCTGCAGGGGACGCCCCCCTACTCTCTGACTCCCCCCCCCTCCCGAGGCAGGACCCTCCCTCCTGGCCCCCCACGTGCAATGGGGGTTCCTGGCTGGGTGGGTTGGGGGGGAACCCACAGCAGACTCTCTGCGACCGTGGCTCTAGACTGGGACCCGGAAGCCAGGAGACTACATTTCCCGACGGGCCGCGCGCTGGACCGGAAGTGTACGTAGACCAGCTTGGAATGCTGGTCTGGGGGGGAGCAAGGGTGGCTTTATTCGCGCGTGCGCTGAACACCTGCCGCTCAGCGAAAGGGGCGCGGCTAGGCGAGGGGGCGGATCCGGCTTCAAACGGGCGGCGGGGAATCTCCTCCAATCGCCAGGACGGGAGCGGCGGCCACCAGCGAAGGCAGGCCGGCGCGGATTGGGCCGCCTCGCAGGAGGGGCGTGGTCAGGAACCGCTTCCTGCTTTGGCACGTGCAGGAAGGGGGCAAGAAAGGCGAAGCGGCTGCTCTACCTGTTAAAGATAGTCCCCGACTTATGACCACAATGGAGCCCAACATTTGTGATGTTAAGCGGGGCGTTGAGTTTTGCCCATTTTGCAACCTTTCTGGCTGCGGTTGTTAAGTGAATCACCAGCTAAATTAGTCATGTTAAGTGAATCCCTGCTGTGAAGTCAGTAACCTGGTTGTTAAGTGAATCTGGCTTCCCCATTGGTTTTGCTTGTCAGGTCAGAAAAGGGGAACACACGACCCCCGGGGTACTGCAACTGTCATAAATACGAGCCAGTTTCCTAACAGCGAAAGCAATTAACCGGTGGAACAGCCTGCCACCAGAAGTCGTGGGTGCTCCATCATTGGAGGTTTTGAAGAAGAGACCGGACAGCCATTTTGTCCAGAATGGATTAGGAGTTCCTGAGGAAATGGTTGGGCTAGAAGACTTCCAGGGTCCGTCCCTTCCAAATCCAGGATTGTTACGTTTCATGAATGGCGACAGGCCCCTTCTGTAAGTTTTCTCACAGAATCACTGGCCGTTGACTGAATCCAAATCTGCCAGTGTGTGTGTGTGTGTGTGTGTGTGTGAGCCAATTTTTTTTCCCCCCCCCTTCCAAAAAAAAAAAAAAAAAAAGGCCAGAGTCCCCAATCCTGTCCATAACCTAGCAATTTATTCAACTCTCTGATTACATCTCGCACATCAGGCAACTTGGCAAGGAGGCATTTTTTACAAGGATATTCACATTTTGGGGGTGGTTGGGTGGGGTACAAGTACATTTAGTAAGGGTCAGAACAATTATGTCCCAGCAACAACCAGCAGTACAATCTCTCAAACGCCCCCCACCTCCTTAAATGACCTCAATCCTAATTGGGTTAAATGTCTAGCCTTTTTTTCTTTCTTTCTACATATCTGATTTTGGACACTGTGCTGAAATAATTAAACCGCCCTTCAGATGCGGAGGGGGTGGGAATTACCATGTCCCTGGAGGGGTTGAGCAGATAAAATCTTGAAAATGTGGAATCGTGCTGGGTTGGGTGGGTGGGTGAGCTGGCAAAAGCTTTTTCCACCTCAAGCAAGATTGCTCACTTTCTCCCGTCATGCCAGCTGCTTTCTCCCACCAAGCAACCATGGAAAATCTTAGGGCAAGAAATGAGGCCTGATCCGTGTCACGTGTTAAGAGACACCCCGCACAACCACCCTGGCAGGCCTCGGTGCCATCACCTCCAAAGGGAAAACGGGGAAAGGTTTCTCACATTGGGGAGCATCGAACGGAGAGCTGCGACACAGGCTTTGCAAGGAGCTTCCACACCTTTCCAGGAATTGCAAGGGGCAACTGTCCTGTGAAGTCCCAGAATTGAGTATCTACAAAAGGATGGGTGGTGGTGGTGTCTAGATCCATTTGGGCCCAGCTGATGCTTTCCAGGTGTGCGAGCCAGGGGTCTGGGGACTCTGCAGTCTCTGCAACACATCTGGAAGGCTTGAATTTCTGCAGGCAGATCTAAACTCAACTACCGATAGCAAAGGGGGCATTTCTCAAAGTGCAAGGCAAATATTTAGGAATTTGGCCTCACCCACTCCAGAATTATCCCCCTACTCCAAATTCCTTACCTATTCTTCATGGACACCCCTACTTTCACCTCAAAGACTAATATTTCCAGCTGTTTACTCTGCTCCAACTCCCCAATCTAGAATTCCTCACCCTTCCTTCATCGCAAATGAGTGTCACCTCTGTGATAAAATACTTTTGCCTTTTCTCTTTCCATCCCTTCCCTTCCAACGATTCTGCCACCATTTCAAGCTTACCATAATTAAAGTCAACACTTAAAAGGAACTTTTAAAACTTTTCACAGGCATTTTTTTTTTGGGGGGGGGGGGGGGGGAAGGGAGGAAAAACTACCAAGAAATGAGCATGGATCATAAATAGTGGTTTTCTTTTTGTAGGTCAACATTAAAGAGTGAATCTTCCTTAAAAAGGAAAAAAACATAACTTACATTCTCACAGAGTTCAAACTTGCCTCGAGATTTATTTTTTTAAACACGAAATGCTGCCATGGAAAAAGGCTTTGAGGATTTAACTCTACTGGAATTCCGCCTCCAGTTAAATAGTGATTCTCAAACTGGGTGACTTTAAGATTGGGTGGACTTCAACTCCCAGAATTCCCCAGCCAGCATTGGGAGTTGAAGCCCCCTCCCCATCTTAAAGTGGCTCAGTTTGAGGGCAAAAAAAAAAAAAAAAAAAAACCAATGTAAAGACTCCGATGGAAATGGATGCCCCAGAATTCACAGTAACTTGCATTCTGACTACTATCCAAAATAAAATGCCCAATTTCTCTCCCTCCTTTACTGCAAATCCCCATCAAACTGAGCCTCCCTACTCGCACGCCTGCAGACTACACGGTAAAAGAAACAAGCCAACCACTCAGCTTCATTTAAACCAGAATATCCTCCAAAGCTTTAAAGAGTTCCAATCATTTGCAAGAATCAAGTCCTTCCTGTCCAAATTCAGGCGTGTTTTGTTTTTTTTAAGTATGGTGGCTGCCCTCTGGGAGCGTGCAACTGGGAGAAAAAAAGCCAGTTTTGGGTCCACGAGACCTTATCCGAATCTTGGTTTATTTCTTTTTAGAAGTTTGGTTCCAGCTTTGTAACAGCAAAAAAAAAAAACTGGACGGTTGGCAGTGGAAGGTTAGATCTGCTGGGACGCTGTCTTTAGCACGTAGAGGTTGTTTCAATGCCAAGGGTGGCAAACTTTAAGCCCCTTGGCTAGTTGCCTTGCTGTTTTCCTTCAAGCCAGCTGGACTCGACAGGGAGCTGAGAACTTCCTTCAGACATAAAGGAAGAGAAATAGCTGCCTGAATTTGAATCAAAAAGCTCCGCTTCGGTTCTCACCGGGCCACAAAGCAGATTCCTGCTTCTTTTCTCCCCTGGATGTGTGTTTCTTCCCCACACAATTTTTTTTTTCCCCCAGGGGAAGCCAAATAGCGTTAAGCCGTGCAGTGGAAGTGTTTCTTAGCAACCCGGGAAAATTCACGGAAGCATTTTGCACAGTCAAAAAGAGGTGTTAAAAAAAATGTCCCGTTCCCCCCCCGCCCCCCACCAAAAAAATAAAATAAAATTCAAACAAATCCCAAGGATGAATGGAGTCTCTTCCGATCTCAAGAAGTTTCCCTCGGAAACCCAACTCGTGCACCAATTTTGCTGCTCCTTTTAAAAAGCCGCTGGCCAACCCGACGCGATGAAGGTAGAGAGATTTGGGAGGGGTCTGTTTTCAAGCAAACCCCCCCTCCCCACCCTAAATCTGGAATAAAGCTGAACCATCCTCGTTAGGGTCTCCCAAATCAGAACAAAACCCCTCTATCTCAAAGTGGTAAACTGGGCAGATGGAGGGAAATTGAGAAAAAGGCAATTTCTTCCTCTGGCATATTTTGAGCCTTTCAACTTTCGACAGATTGAGGCTAAAAAAAATTTAAAAAAAAGGATCCGAATGTTTTAAATCAAGGCTAGGTTTTTACTTTCAGCGCAGTCACCCGAGAGCGGAAGGAAAGCTTGCTTTTTCAACTTAAAATGGACAACTTTAAAACGACGGAGAGTCTCTTCCAGGATTCAAGGTTTTGTCCTCCCAGTCCTGCCCCGGAGGCCAAAATAAAAACACCAATATTAAAAGTGTGTCCCCAAAAAAGAGTTATTTTCCAAACCAGCTCAGTTCCAGCAATTGTAGAACCCAAGGTAACGGATAGGTTGAGCGCCTCTTAATTCTTTAGAACTGGTCTGCACGCCTGTTTTAACGGGATTGAGATGGGAGGGGGGCGGGGGCTCTCAGTTCTTCTCCCCACCCCTCCTCACCTGATGCCTGCACAGATCCTAAGACAACCCGTGTCTGCATGCAAGCTAAAACAGCCTCTCTCCCCACTGATAGCCCCCAATATTCTTCAATCTCCTTCCTTTTAAGCCGGGGTCTCCAAACTTGGCCACTTTTAAAACTTGTGGACTTCAAGTCCCAGAATTCTCCAGCCAGCGTAGCTTACTCTCTTGGGATCCCTTCCTCTGCAATCTCTCCATTTTGGGAGGTTAAGAGAAAAAAAAACAGACACGGCTGGCTAGAGAATTCTGGGAGTCGAAGTCCACAAGTCTTAAATAGTGGCCAAGTTTGGAGGCCCCTGTTTTAACCAATTTGTACTGGCACAAAGGTTACACAACCATACACACACACACACACACACACTCCAGAGAGATTGCAAGCTGGCCCCCGCCTTCGTCTCCCTTCGCTCGCCCTCAAGGAGGACCAGGGTAGAAACTGGACAGGGCACACTCACGTCTGCTTCCCAACCGGGGAGCAGCACCTAAACCGCCACAGCCAATCTGTTAGCGCACCCTTTGCATTGTGAGGAAAGAGCCCCCTCCCCGGATGCTTATCGGGAGGGAGGCGCGAATGGACTTTCAGACTGAAGAAAACGTCCCGCTGCTTGACTTGGCTGAGACCCAGCGTTATTCCCAAGAACTTCGCCGGCTTCTTGGCGTCCCGGATGGAGCAGAACAACGCTGTCATTCAGATAAGGGAGTTTTATAATCCCGCTCTTCGTCCAGATGCAAAAACAGTCCAGTTTGGGGAAGAGAATTGTTACTTCCTTTGGCCTCGCAGACATGACGAAGATGCCCCATCCAACATTCCTGCCCACCCACCACTCCCACCCCACCAATGCAAACCATTCCCCACCCCCATCCTGGGCTTCTTCCGGCCCTCAGCAGTTCTGCAGGCGGTTGTAGAGTTCTCGTTTGCTCTTCTCGCCGGCCCATGTGCGGCTTTTCAGACGGAAAGTGCGCAGGTCGTCTTTGAAATCCTTGTGGTGCATCGGGCGGTAGTTCTGTGGGTCGCAGTGACTCTGGGGTAGGGTGGGGGGAGAGAAGCAAACCAAAAGATCAGCCCCCTCCCCTTTGAAAACAGCAATAGCACTTGAGACTTAACTACCACTTCATGGTGCTCTACAGCAAGGGTCTCCAACCTTGGCCACTTTAAGATTTGTGGACTTCCAACTCCCAGAATCTCGGAGTTGAAGTCCACAAGCCCTAAGGTGGCCAAGGTTGGAGACCCCTGCTCTACAGCCCCTCTCTAAGTGGTTTTACAGAGTCAGCCTCTTTTCCCAAAAAATCTGGGTCCTCATTTTACTGACCTTGGACAGACAAAAGGTTTGAGCCCATTAGGATCTGACTCCTGGCTGTAGGCAGTCAGCCTGCAATGCTGCATTCTAACTGCTGTACCACCATGGTTCTAAATCTGTCCCTGCCTAGCTACCTGCCTACATACACACCTACATACTTAACATCTATATAATCTATCATCTATCTATCTATAGCAGGGGTCTTCAAACTCGAGAGCTTTTAAGACTTGTGGACTTCAACTCCCAGAATTCCTCCTCCAGTCATGTTAGCTCAGGAATTCTGGGAGTTGAAGTCCACAAGTCTTAAACTTGCCAAGTTTGAAGACCCTTGATCTATAACAAAAGCCCTTAGATTTAGATATTGCTTCACAGTGCTTTACAGCTCCCTCTAGTCCAGTGGCGCCAACCGGTGGGCCGGTGACCATTGGTGGTCCGCGAAAAAAATTTGGTGGTCCGCAGAGAAATGTCACCCCCAAATCAATTAATCCAAAGTCTTTCTTTCTTTCTCTCCCCCAAACTCTACCAGAAATGAGTCTTTGGGACCCTGCAAGGCCTCCTGCTCCAACAGGCTGCGCTGGTAAAGACTCATTTCTGGCGGAGTTTGGGGAGAGAAAGACTTCTGCAGCTTCTGCTGCTTTCCTTGCATGAAGCCAAAAGTCTCTCTCTCTCCCCCCCCCCCTGAGAACAGAGCTGGAGACAGTATCCTGTGATCTCAAATAAAGAATGATCGATCGGTAGGAAAACGGGTGGGGGATTTTCCCGCAGACTTTTTTTTGAGGTTTTTCTCTGCAGACAGATTACAGTCGTGACCCGAGGCTTCACTGAATTCTTATTTTAATTTGTATTTTGGGTTATGATAATCTCAATGTGTTGTATTTTAAAAAAGCTCACCTGATATTGGGGGAAGAATTCCTTATAACCCCCTTTCAAAACGTAGAGCTCTGGGTAGTGGAGGGAGGGATACATATTACGAGCGCGGTCTTTCTCTCGAACAAAACGGCACCTTTGGGGATAAAAGGAGGAATAGAAATAGCCATAGCCCTTAGACTTATATACCGCTTTATACTGCTTTCCAGACCTCTAAGCAGTTTACAGTCAGCATCTTTCCTTCCTTCCTTCTCAAGCAATAGCAGACTTACATCCTGCTTCACAGTACTTTCCAGCCCACTCTAAGCAGTTTACAGAGTCAGCCTCTTGTCCGCTCGCTTCCTTCCTTCCTTCCTTCCTTCCTTCCTTCCTTCCTTCCTTCCTT